AAAAATCGTGCTGGAGAAGAGACATTCAAGAGAGAGAAGAAGAAAAACTCGAAGAGAGAGAATGCGATGTATGGCGCGAGACAATGATAAAGAGGAGAGAAAAAATAGGGATAAAAAATAGATCTATATTTTATTTATTTTAGTATATTATAATATTATATAAATAAAGGAAAGGTATTATAGGGATTCTATATTTATAAGGGTCTGATGTTGCCGTTTTCTTTTTACTGTGCGAGGGTATGGGCTGTAAGTGAAATCGACATTTAAGAGTATTTTTGCAATTGCCCTTGTTTTAGATGGGAGATATATAGTAAATTCGGGACTCGCTTATTTGAGGGACTAAATTATAATTTCTCACACAATCCTCTTTCCGGACGTTTGCAGAAGGATTATAAAATGTAATAGTCAAGTAACGTGCCAAGTTTTTTTTTAAAAAACTATAATTATTTGCAACATAGTATGTGACATTCAAAACTTATATATTATATATAGACGAAAATATTTTACAACCCTTCACTTTGTAAGTTAGTTATAGGCGTCCGAGATAGGATGATCATTTTGGTTAGTAACTTAATAACAAGATCAAATCGAATAAGATATAATCGTAACCGAATCAAATCCAACATAAAAACCAAATGTTTATAATTGTTCTAAACCCGGAAAAATTAAAACCGATTAAAAAAATAACTGAAAAAATAGACAGTATCTTTAAAAACTAAGATTTTTATAATAAAAAAATTGATCCAAATCGAACCAAAAAATAATCGAACCAATTCAACCGAAATTTATATAACAACCGAATGGACGAATGACCTATAACCGAAATAACCGAACCTAAATATAACCAAACCGAAACACAAAATGACCACCCCTAGAAATAATAATGTATGTTCCTTGTTTTCTTCCATATTTCCTTTTAAAAATGGTCTAAAACATTGTATTTCAACATGACAAAAGATTTACAAATAATTTTGACAAAGCCTCTCTACACTTTGAGAAACAATCATAATGTTAAAAATTAAAAAAAAAAACTTTTGTCCTAAAATCCCAACCTTAAAACCATTCTTAGTTCTAACTCGAGACTACTACAACTAAAATCTCATCTAACCCATCTCATTTGTCATTTCCAGTTAGCAGCCACCAAAGCCAACCTATAAATCATCCATTAAAAAAATGAAAATGTTTGCGCCTCAGAGTTCATCCATTGATTCACTAGCTCGAATATAACCTGCCTAAGCTCTTGTCCAAAGATTGTATAGAAGCTGCTCCCCATTGGCCGAGTTCTCTGGCTTGCCCTGTGATTCGTCACGTAAATAATCTATCAGCAGCCATTAAAGATGCAGAAATTTTCTGTTTATCGTCAGCCCATCAATCAGAATCCGATCCCCGATGAGTTAGGATGATACAGGGGACGTGGGTCGCATATGTGGACACTTGGGAGGGGATCTTTTACGACAGATATGGCACCGGAATCCAATAAGCATACTCATGTTCTCGTCGTTCAGACCGTATGCATCCCCATGGAACCATTCTACACAATTCAAAGGCACAAGAATGCAAAAGTTATAAATGGTAACAGACCCTGCATCTTGAAAATGGATGGATTCAAATGGATTACCTCCACAAATTTCACAGGCAATGAAAGCTGACCCAGATACTGATTCAGCGGAAGCACATATATGGCATTTTGGATGGTCATTATCAGTGTCAGACTTCTCTGAAGGAATAAAATATCTGTCTCTACGGAACATCGTTACCCGTTCATCGCCAGGTTTTCTGGACAGCAAGATGCCGTTTGACCAATAACTAAAGAACCTTCTCGTTCTTTTTTTTCTCAAGGAAATTTCTTGTTTAACTTTCTTTGGCCTGCCTCTACCTCTTTTAAGCTTCAATTTCCGTTTCTTGTTTCCCCCAGGATCTTTGCTTTCGTCCTGCAGTCTGAAAACACGCTTCGGTCTTCTAGTTGAACGTCGCAAAGGTAAGCTAGCCACAACCTTCTTATGATTCTGCAACCTCAAAGAAATCCTCTCTGCAACTAAGACCTTAGTCATCTTTGGCCGAGCCGACTTGTGAGCAGGGGTGACCTTTTTATGCTTTTGTGTCTGAAGTCCAAAACTTTTCCGGCGAAAACTCCCAGGAGGCCGCCCTCTTTTTCGTTTCTTCGGTTGCTCCTTTGCTAGAATATTACCCTGGCATTGGTGACAGATATAGGAGGAATCCTCGCCATCTGCTTTGCTGACATGCTTTTTATGGAAATATTCTGAAATTCATATCACAACACCGATAAGCAAAACTTCGCATGTATAATAAGCAAAACTTTGAAGGGTTTTTCTTTGCAAAACAACTCGACCAGAAGAAAAAAGAAATCAAGATTTCCAGAATCCAAATGTAAAGTTCCAATTGAAAAGAGAAATGCTCACCTTTGCAGATGTAGCAGCACACAGCTTCACTGTCATTACCGGAAACAGAAACAGAAAAGGGATAAGTAACAAACTTTTTTGTCAGCTGATAAAAATCAACTCAACAAAGTGATAAAGCGTCAAATCTATAACCCAACCAAGATAAGGAAAAAGAAAAATTCCATATATAAGATATATTTTCAAGATGGGATAGCTATTCTGCACAAGACACTCAGATTCTGGAAGGAGAGAAAAAGGACGGAGGAGATCAGGGCATACCTCAAAAGCACATCTTTGTTGCAGTGCCCACACAGGGAAGATTCAGATCTTTCTGCCCTCGCAAAGAGGTATAAGAAGCCCTTCTCCTTTAAGCACCTTCTTGCCTTACCGACCTCAAAACGTCTGAAAGTGCCCATCTTACTGGTTTTTTTAACAATTTTTTTCTCCTCAAAGCCTTTCAAGAGATGTAAAGGCACATATGACTCACTCAACCAGAATTTCTTCCTTCCACTAGAGGATTCTTCAACCATGCAACCATTTTCCAAGACGACATCAGGAATATTTCTCCTCTTACCAAAGTCGAGGAGATATTTCACATTCTCTGCTTCCAAGCACTTCCTACGAACAATGGCCTTTTTGAATAGTCTGACATATTTTCTGGATTCTTTATTCAATGCTGGAAGAAGATGCGTGTTTTCAATATCAACCCAGTTGATGTAAGAATCAAGCTCTCTCACCTGAAATCACGAAACTCTTAGCTAAAAAATCGTTACAGAATTTAATGAGAACCGAACGTAGTTAATATCATCAACATCAAAACAAGTTTAAGGGACAGGGAATTTATTGTCAAAAGCTTTATCAAACAATGTTAGAACCAAAACTAAATTCTAAGACATTGCAAATACACCATAGGAGAACTCAACCCTGTCATTTCTCACCAATGACAGGAAATTTATTGTCAAACGCTTTATCAAACAGGTTAGTGTCCAAATTGAAATCAAGACATTACAAATACACCGTAGGAGAATTCAGCCTTGTCATTGCTCGCGAAGGTTGAATTCTCACCAATGATAGGAGAATTCAGCCTAGTCATTTCTCACCCTAGGAGAATTCAACCTTGTCTGAAACAGTTTACTGTACCTGCAAACCGAGCTGCTCCGACGTTGTGCATGACTCGACTGCTGCTTGCCATGCTACACGAAGGCTTCTTCTAGGAGGTTCTGAATTCTCAGGATAAAATATTCCGGGAATCTTTCTACTTCCACCTGCAAGAAACAAGAAATTTAGGAGGGTTCCAATGACAGGAAGTGCGAAAAAAAGTAAATAGAACTCTAAAACTCCACAAGAGCAGAAGCGAGAACTAACTGAATGCGAACCTTGTCGGGCAGCCTTTAAGACCAAAGACCGAGGTAAAACCTTCCAGTTGAATAACCGTCTTGAAAGTCGGCCACCTCTCCACCAACACATGGACAATCCCCCATTCTTTTTCGTGGTATGTTTAACCCCAGAATCTGAAATCTTCCCCATTCTTTTACCAATTGCACTCTTCGACGATGAGCGTGCAGAAGCAATGACAATATGTGTAGCCGAACCCATTGTCTTGGCAAAATCTACATGGTTTAGCCACTGTGATGAAAGCACCCGATGATGCAGACATGCCTCCAACTGTCCAATGATGATAACAAAATATTTTTAATACAAAACAAGAAATTACACGACAGAGTTGTACACCTGGAATTGTCACTACAAATATTAAGAGCTAAAGACACAAGTAGTGAGACTCCATACAATAGATAAATCTTAAGCCATTCAAGAGACAATAAAACTATTTGTCATACTAGCCAAACTAACAAACAGCATGATACCTCTTAACTATGAGCTTTTCCGGTAGGAGGAAATATGCTAATAAACAAAACCAATGCTGCAGACAACTGATATATGAGACGAAACATAATGATGAGAACTTCCATAGGAGAAGCAGAGGGTTCAAATATGAGCTTAGGTGAGAAAGAAGACCAGCATTGAATATAAGGATTCAAGTTACATATGATCTTACTTCCCTAGAGGAAGATATGCTTTATAAACTTACTTCAAGCAATAAAAGCTTCAAGCTCGTAATGTTAGATGTGTTGAAAATGTTTTCACGCCAGTTCCTGAAGTATTGCGGATTCAACCATGGACCTATAAGAAGTCCTTGCAGTCGACTTTCCATGGCAACTATCTGGCACATAACAGCCGCAAGATGACTATTCTTGTTATTGGACAGAATATTAGCAATTTCACTTTCAGGAAGACCTCGGATCGGCCCGAGACTCATGTTAAATAAACAATCCACCTCCCTTCCCACATCCTCAGAAGGATTTTTGCAGGAAAAGCACCACCCACATTTTTCTTTCCATGAATCTAGATACACACTTTGGATGTTTCGCCAATGAAATTTGTTGGATTTCTTCAATATTGTCTTCACCTGGATAGAAATAATATCTTCATCAGATTTCACTTTGTTACTATGGATTGGTAACTTAGACAACACCTCCTCAGCAATCAGTGAAGTCACCCGAGCAAAGCTGTAGCAATTTCTGTATCCTGTTCCGCTTTGCACCTTCGGTTTGTTTCCTTTTCTTGTGTTTATTCTAGACGAATTATGTGAAGATGAATGGTTATCAATTTCTGGTTCTTTCATGGTGTCCAAATTGCTTGATGGTACTTCCTGACTGCAACTCAATTTCAGTATATCTAGTTCAGTAGTTGAATCTGGTTTCTTCCGAGAACTCCTACGAGGGTGATTATCTGAATGTCCACCAATGGATATTCTGTCCACCTTTCCTTCAGCAGTAGTTGCAATCTGCGATTCAAGAGCTGGTGAAGTTGACATAGACTTAGACCCATCACCAGAAGGAATAGTTCTTTCTGCTGCTGCTGCAGCCATGCATGTAGACATTTGGGAGTTCACACTGCTGATTGTTCTTCTTAAGCCAACAGGGATCTCCCAGTGTTTGTTAATTGCATCTGTTATGCCTCTATAGAGACTACCGCATGACTTTAGCACCTCCAGCACAAGGTTTACATCATTCATGTCGTAGTAATTCAATGATCCTGAGCCATCTGTATCTATCCTGAAATCCATAAGAGAAATATCAACAAATGATTGAAGAAGGCATATCCCAGATACTATAATAATACAAAGTAATACATGGTCAAAGCTCTGTAGTTATGAAAATAAACAGACAAAAACATTCACTTTATTTTTCCAATCAGAGTTTTGTTTTTCTTTTATTGGCTTTAAAATGGGGGGGGGGGGGT